ATATATATATATATATATATATATATATATATATATATATATATATAAAAAAATATATAATTATATATATATTTAATTTAAATTAATATGTTTAATTTAACAATTAATGTTCATTATGTTTATACATTTTATTTATGAATTAATTATTTTATTAATTATAGTTATTAATATTACTTAATTACATTACATTAATTTTATTATTATTTTACTAATTCAATTACAGCAAAAAGTACTACATTAACTTGATTACTAAGGAAACTAAATAAGTAAATTAACAAATACAAGCAAATAAGTTCAGTAATACGTAAATAAATTATTTATTTTAAAAGAAATTTACCAAATAAATAAATGAAAAGCAACAATTGATCAATATTAACAATGTTCATTATTTTATTTGTTAATTTTATCTAATAATTATTTGCGCTTTTGTTAATTATAGTTAACGTAACTTTTATTAATTAAAAGTTATTATTAGAACAATTATTAATTATATTATATTATATAAATGTTGTAATGTTAGTGTTCTAGCTTTTTTTATTTTTGGCTCGGTCACAATATGTTCCTCCATTGAAATTCACTTTGCATAAAAGCATCTGCTAAATGTATAAATGTCATTATGAACATTATTTTAAAAAGTACACTTACAATCATTATTAATTTTTATCATTTGATTATATAATGCAGTAATGTTAACAGTCTTCATGAAAGTTATTTAACAAAATTGCAGAGCTTTTTTTTATTTTTTTTAATACTAGGGTCCATGGGTTGGCTAAGAGGTCTGGTGAGGGTCCCTGGGTCTGTAAAGGTTGTAAACCCTGTTTTCACACATCAGATTCATAACTACATGCACACAAAATAATACATCAAAACACCCACGAAATGTGATTTAAGTTCAGGCTCCACATCTTTCTTCATGCTCTAATGAAGTCACTGAGAGTCCATGACTACATTTGCTAATAGTTTCAAACGACCCAGCTAAAGTGCCGCGTTTCAATACAGTTCAACTACTGAGTGAAAAGGCAATGAAACACAATCTAATGTCGTCAAAAGCAAGAGTTTATTAGTGAGGGCAGCAGCAGGTCTACATTCTTTCAGCGAGTGCATTCGAGCCACAAGCATTCAGCACTTACTTCCCCTCAGGGTACAACTCCTCATAGAAGGCTTCTCCTCTAATGAACGGGAGAGTGAAGGAAGACAGAAAAAAAAACAGGATGGAGAAAAAAAGGAAGAGGAGCACAAATAACAATAGAGAGGAAGAGTGGCAGAAGAACAACAAAGAACACAACAGTGTCCATTAAAGCAGCCTGGCTTTAGACCGAGTGAATGGAGGCCATGCGCTGATCTCCACCACTGCGGTCTTAAATATCAACATTGGAATAAAGCAGTACATTTACAAACCCTTAGTGAATAATTACAGAGCGAGACGGCAGCTTAGATGTGAGAAATCTGCCATCTCCTAAAGCCAATACTGCAACAATGCAGGCTTGGGAATAGGGAAAGATCTATTCAATTTAGGAAAAATCATATATGGAAACGGATAGAAGCAGAGCCACAGGGCTGGGATTCAACAGCCAAAAACAATAATTGCACACATTTCTCAGAACAGGGGGGAAATAAGGAAAGGCATTACTAACTTGTCAGGAACTTCCATCTGTAGAATGACAAAGGAGATTTAAAAAAAAAAAGAGAAGGAGAGAAAATAGTTTAGAAATAAATCACACAGAAATGGAGAGAAGAATAAACAGCATTTAGAAAGACGTGCTGCAGAGACAAACAAAGCAAATTGTGGGTTTTAGTGGGGAAAAGAATCACAGTGTGTTATGCAAGTAACACAAAGGAAAACTTGAAAACATGAGCTGTACCCTCCTATTAAAAAAAGTTAAATGATTCTGCTCTTTAAATGTGCCTTTATTATTAAAAACATCCCTGAACCTTCAGCCAAACATTACAGCCACTAGATCTAACTGACATTGAGTCGGTCTTCGCGGCACAGAACCAACATTACCCTAAACATGTTTCCCAAACTGATTTATTTTCCAGTCATTTATGACTACTGGACAAAATCATTTTATAGAGATTTTGATTTCTAGCCAATGAATCATTGAAAATTTGAAAGTTGAGCAAGTAGAAAAAAATCTATTTATTAGAAAAACATCATAAAGTTACAAATTTGTTATATTTTATGAATTTACACAACCGTCTAGGTGTGGGAATTTAAAAAATATCCACAACACTGCTAGAACAAACAAAAAAATTATATAAATATATAGTTCAGTCATGAAACTCTAGATGGCGCATTCTGACGGGTGTTAACGTAACTCATGATATTCAGAGAGTTAAACGACTTGGCACAAGCTGATTGGTTCATGCTGCATATGCAGCCAATGAGTTTACTGCCTTGCATTTATATGGCTGGCAAGCATTCACTTGAGATTCCTGCAGCGCGCTTTCAGAGTTCTCTGAAACCCTCCACCTTCCCCAGCTCCACCCGTTTAGATCTGCTATGGGGTTATTTTATATGCTATTTGTGCAGCAGCAGTATGTCTTAAATACTCATGGCACCGTATCGCCGTATGCATTGTCAGTTGCAGCAGCAGCAATAATCTACAACTACCGCAATAACCAACAGCAGCAGCAATTCAGCAGCAGCGTAGCAGATCTGTTCCGCCAAGACCAAATACATTAACATTGTCATATCCATCACCATGCTAAAATGTTCCGAGAGTTGTCATGATTGAACTAACTTCTTTGAAAAAGGTTTTATATTTTAATTTAAAATGTAATTTATTCCTGTTATTGCTAAATTTTCAGCAGCCATTACTCTAATCTTCAGTGTCATATGATCCTTCCATTTGCAGCTCAAGAAACATTTATTATTTTATCAATATTGAAAATAGTTTTTGGTGCTTAATATTTTTATGGAAACGGTGATACACTACCATTCCAAAGGTTGGTGTAAGTACAAAAAGAAAAGAAAAATATATATATATTTTTTTTTTATCCAGTAAGGACGCATTAAATTGATCAAAAGTCACAATAAAGACATTTATAATGTTACAACAAACACCTATTTCAAATAAATGTTTTTGTTTTTTTGAGTTTTCTATTCAAAGAATCCAGAAAAAAAAAATTGGAGAACGGGAAATTATTCCCCGCAAAATTATTGGGTAAAATGATTGGTTTTTTTCATCATTAATCATAATAAGAACCATTATTAATAACTGAGCACCAATAATGTGAAACTGATGGCTGCTGGAAATTAAGCTTTGCCATCACAGGAATAAATGACATTTTAAATTATATATTCAAAATTTCAAATAGAAAACAGTTATTTTAAATAGTAGTATTATTCCACAATATTACTGTTTGCTGTATGTATATATAATAGAATAAAATACTTTTCATTTTAACAATTTAACCATCATTGCATCAAACACTGCAAGCAATAGTGCCCCTCAGAGTGAACAGTCATAAAAACAAGCTTGTAGGCGTGCAGTGCTGTAAACATGCTCAGAATGCTGACGTGACTGAGGTCTCCATGTTCTCTGGAGATCACACACACACACACACAGTGCTGGATCGCAAACACACTCGCAGCACTCCAGCAGCCGAGCTCTGATTCACCCTCCTTCCCTCCACTACACTCCAAAACTCCAGAGCTTTCGACTCCGGTTCTTAGCTGAAGTCTTAGTTTGTTTTTGTTTTTTCAGCTTTTGAATAAAACAAAGAGGACATCTATTTGAATAAAACATCCCCTTCGTGCAATTTGTTTGTGAGGAAACTTGTGTTAAGGTGGAATCATACAGGAGCCTTTCCGAGTAAGGCTGTTAAGTAATTCAGCACCGGGGCCGTAACGGCACTTTGAGGGCTCAGCAGATTTTATGGGAGGGTCTTGACTCTATAAACAGCAACAGACAACATCAAGTCCTGGCCTAAAGACAGATTTCAACCTTCTCGACCTGTTTAGATCAAAACCTTAGACCTTCACAGACTCCTTCACATGTTTACGTTAAAAAGCAGCACAATTGTACTGCCTTCAACTCTACCGGACTTGACTGCTAACATCTGTTGTTTTGATCATCTTAAATAAAAGTGCTCGTTAAAATTCAGGACCTTGGCAGAAAAGAGGTACAGAACGAAGAGTAAAGCAGATGAAGACGGCGTGTTTGAGTGGATCCCAGAGCAGTCTGGTCACCAGGGTGGCGATGCAACCGCCTGTTCCAACAAGGAAAACAGACACAGCTGCTTAACGCCATGTTGTTTATTCCAAGCATACACAATAAATCTAGAAAAACGCTAAAGGCCAGACTCTTGAACTCGCTGACCCCAAATCTCCTGCCACCACACCTCACTATGCAGGAACGCAAAACGTTCAGAACCACAATCCAGACAATGGCGGGATTCTGCAGGCGTTCTTACCCATCAGGTATTGCTGCATCATGAGAAACACGCAGCCTTGGGTATGGTGAGCTCATTATTGTGGACTATGCTCATCAAACATGTCCCGTGGCGATCAAAGTTCACTTTAAAAGACAGAATGAGCCTGAGTCTCTGTCGGAGACCTGGCTGGCTGGTCACCTACCCATTGTGAGGCTGCGGCGAGTTGAGGTTAAGCTTGGGGGCGTACGACACCGGCTTGATGACAGGCCCCTTGCTGCCACTGCCAGGGGCTGCAGAGAATGGACGCGCCATCTTGTTTATGGTCGTGCTCGGTGCAAATGAGTACTTGGGCTGACTGGATGCAGGTGCGTGTGAATCCTGAGTGTGGAGAAAGGAACAGTGCAAATGCAACACCATGCACACACACTAGCAGCACCACAGGTAAATGCACAATCCCAGATACAGTTTTAATGCTTAATCCTTTTCAAAAGAGAGAGTTATCTGGGGGGGAGGTGTGAATGGACTTCATGTGTTCTCACAGCAAATTATGAACACCGTGAGAGTAGAGGGGGATTGTTTGAGAAACCCTGGTCACAAATATTTATCTTGAGATCAGGCCATGGTACAGCTAAAATGTCCTCTATTTCGGCTGCATTCTGCTCTTGAATGGGTTTAAAGTAAAATTATAACTGATATGAGTAGGATTATAGCAGGCACTGTTGCAGAGACCCATGCTATGGGCTATTGCAGCCACATGAGGGCACAACTTCAATTGTTTTTTTTTTCTGTTTTTTTCCTTTTTAATGGCAGTTAAAAATCTGATTAGTTCTTAACAATCAGTTATTTATTTTATAATTATTTGCTACCGACTCTACTATAAAATACTACTATAAAAACATTCTTTTTACAAGTTAATAATTTTTTTATTAAACATTCCTTTAAAAAAAATTAAATATACTTGTCATATGTGTCAAATATTAAACGAAAAATATATATTTATAAAAAATAAATATATGTAATATGAAAGGTTTAAAATTATAAATGTAATATTTTATAAAATAATATTTCAAATTGTATTATAAAAAATATAATATAAAAACGCAAAAATATAAAAAAAATGAACTAGGTTTATAATTTGCATTTACTTTAATTTGCATTTAAATTCGACAGAATTTTTTTTTTTAATTGTTAAGGATTTAAACTTAGAAAGCTAAGTTTCTTAACTTTTGCTGTTATAGTATGTGCAGATGGCCTCCTGGGAAATGTAGATTCAATCTGGGTTTGTGCATTCTGTGGCGATGCAAATACAACCAAACCAAAAACTGCTGAAGGGAGGTTTAAGCAAGACCAAAAGCAAGATGCTTAACATTTGAATCAGACAGGACAACAGACAAACCCCCCAAACTTCCGCAATATAATGCAACCAGCACAAGAAAGCCAAAAGAGCCATGAAACTTACATGAGAATGAGTTATGAACGAGCTATGAAGCACTGTGTATTTGAGTGAAATCACACTAGTTGAAAGCTGAAATGAGTATGTGTGTGAGAGTTCACTTAGATATACTTTGGGGACAACGTTATCCAAAGAAATTAGCAAAATCTGAGAAAAAGCTTTCTTTCATAAGCTATATAAAGATTTAATGACCTTACATAAAAACAAAATAAACATCTATGGCACAACATTTAGATAGCTGTGTGTGTATCTGTGTCTGTGTGTGTCTGTGTGTGTGTGTGTGTGTGTGTCTGTTTCTGTGTGTCTGTGTCTGTGTGTGCGTATTTGCTCAGTTCTGAAGTATTCAAAACAGCTGAGAACTTGAGAACTGATCTAAATGTGTTTCTTCAGATATCAGGAGCTGGTTAAGTGGTCTTGCGAAAGCTTTGCGGCTTTGTCCGACACAAGAGAAAAAGGGCAAATGGCTTACGTTCTGCTCTCCTCCGGCAGGATTAAAAGCTCTGCAGAGAGAAAAGTAGAGAAAGAATTCACTTAAGCTCATTCATAAAAATTACTCATTTAACTGCAATGTTAAAATGTTAACTAAGGACAGTCTAATGGACAGACAGACATCTGCGCCAAATACAACAAGACTCATGGGAATTAAATCAGTTCTTTCTGGCTCCAAATCAAATTTTGTCAGTCTGAATAGAATGCTGCAGCTGTAAGTGTGAACTAATACCTGATGGTTGTCCAAATGATTTTGAATAGACTCAAACATGTAGAATAGCAATGTATCAGATTTATATGAACATTTCTGGTTATTGAAGTCACAAAACACTAACACTAAAAAGATCTTTTCCAACTATGCTTTTAAATTTTTTTTATTCTTCTTCTATTAACAAATGAATAAAAACTTATCAAATGCTATTTTGAAGTACCCTAATGCATCACTTAAATACGAGTCATAGATGAACATAGTAATCATACAATTATGCAGTTGAATAAAGTAGTTAGGTTCAAGTTTGAGCACTCTTAAATACCTTTTAAAAATTTATTTTAAAAAGTAAAAATATATATCGCAAGTAAACAAATAAATGCGTAGCTTCTCAATGAATCTGATTTCATAAGTACAGCATTTGAGACTGCAAGACACTGCTTTCATTGCTATTCGACCCAAATATCAAAGTGCCACGGTATTACCATCCAATATTATCACTGTACTCAAGATAAGCATTGTATTCAAGAACTTCTGCCTTAAACTGGACTGTCTAGGTTAGTATGACTAGGCTGTAAAAATAGTTGCATTCCATCAGTAACCTCCCCATGAGTCTGCACTTCCTGTGCCTATACACCACTTCCTGTGACAGCAAGGGTATACTTTTGCACAGTGACCTGCTTACAGATATCAGTTTAGAGAGAAAATGTAGAAGAAAACAGTACAACCAGGCTGTTTTACAAGAGTCATCGGTTCCAGGAAATGACACAGGAAATGAACAGTGTCCAGTGCAATTGACCATTTATAGACGCAATATATAGCTTCGCTATATTTTCTATTTTCAATATGCAATCGATTTTCCTGCAAGGTAGGTAGGTAAATAAATAAATGAATAAATAAGCAAGCCTTACAAAGCTTTCCTAAAATGCATTATACCAGCTTTTCTTCACTTTTGTAAGCAAAGATGAAATCTTCTAAACTAATATGCTGAAAATCAACATGAAACTGAATGTGCAAGTCATTTTACATCCATTGCAAAACAGTAACTGTAGTTTAAGCCTTAACAACTATTTGTCTATTAGTAAACAGCCTGTCCAGTCTACATAATTTTAGCCGACCAGATTATGAAGACAAACACATTGAGACAAATCCATTCTGATTTCAAATTTAATTTAATTCTTTAAAACAAACATTGACCAAAGCACACAGAAAGGGCAAACTAGGACAACGGTCTAGAGCAACAAAGCTAAAAAGAGATTTTGTGCTTCAAAGAACCGCTGCAAACCACAATTGAAGAGGTTGCCCAAATGGCTATCAAATGCCATGTAAACCAAAAAGGAACCACAGACATTAGACTTTTTCTACCAGTAACTTAAATTCTGTCTGATGGCAGTAAGCTCCATTTCAAACTTTCCTTTTTTGGGCTCTTCTTGCAGTTTCCCAAAAGGAGTGCAATGTAAGCGATTTCAGAATTGCGTCCCGAGGCATTGGAGGTTTCCCATCTCTGTGCTGAAAAGTGAAGGTCGGCTCAAGTCACAGAGTTACCACTCTGTCTCCAAATGATCTGCTCTACCTTTAGCCCAGGGTCGTCTGAGCTATTTTATTACGCCACATTAAAGATTTGTTCTATGCATTTAATACCTGCCTTAACATATGTCTGCACAAAACAATAGGCCTGAAGATCTAGAGGCCATTTATTTCTGCTTAAATGCCACACAAGGTACCATGCCAAGTTATCAGCACGATTGCTATGGCAACAAGTAAAAGACATTTTCATTTGGAGTCATGCATTTAATACCTGCCTTAACATATGTCTGCACAAAACAAGAAGCCTGAAGATCTAAAGGCCATTTAATTCTGCTTAAATGCCACACAAGGTACCATGCCAAGTTATCAGCACAATTGCTATGGCAACAAGTAAAATAAATTGTGTTACTGCCTGTTAGATCAGCTCTCTAGACACAGTTTTGAGCCAAACAAAATTTAATTACATAAGGAACTGTTTAAAAGTCAATTTTCAAAACAACAGACAATTAGTAGCTAAAATATCACAACAGAGTGCAAGTGTGACTGCCCGGCTTTTAAGTACCCTTGATTTTGAAGTATTTTTCCCATTCATTTTACATTTATGTATTTGGCAGATGTTTTACCCAGAGCAGACTTACAACAATTTGTTTCTCCCTGACAATCAAACCTATGATCTTGGCATTGTTACTACCATGCTCTTCCAACAAAGCTACACTTTCTCCATCGGCATTAAAAAAAACATTCAATGAATCGTTTTAAGAACCAAACCAACCAGCTCTGAGATGAATCATAACATTTGATTTAAAAAAAAAAACTACAATTGAAAACAACAGTACAATATAAACATCATGAAGTCATTAATAAGCATAAAATAATATTTCATATGGACTTTATGTGCTTAACACATTTAGTGTTATTTTAGTATTATTTATATATTACGGTATTATTAATATTTGTTTTGTTTTAATTTTAGTTTAGGTTTTAGTAATTTTGTTTTTTAATAATTCAATTTATCTTTAATTTATTATTCTTATGTATATATATTTTAAAAAAATCCAGTTTTAGCTTTAGTAATTTTAGTACTTCATCTTAAACTTATTTTATTTTGTTTACTTGCCAAGGAAACATTTCTAATTTCTGTTTACTTTTTAAGTTCTTTTTCATCTGATATTTTTAGGTTTGATTTGATTTCATGTCAATTAGAAAAAAAACATTTTTTTAGTTAACAATAACACTGAATGTATTTCAATTTCACATTTTTGTTTTATACAGCATATTAAGCTATAAATGTATAAAAAAATTAAAATACACCGAAACAGTGCCATACCAATCCTGGAGCTTGTGGTAGGTTTTTTTCTTTGTTTTAGATGTCATCACTATAAATCAATTTCGAAAATGGATGGGATTTTTACTTCTGGACTGGCTGTTGCCAGGCAATGCTATAGGCAATGCTTTTAGCATTCTAAACAAAACAACAGTAACCCACCATACTCAGACAATTACATTAGCAGGAGTACCAAAATACGATTAACTATCTAATAACTAAAGTAAACTGTATCAGACAAGTCTTTTTTTCAAAGCCCAGGAATCTGCTCCAAGGTTCTTTGATTTCATCACAGTTGTAAATGTCTGAGTAGTTGTGTTTTGTTGTTTATAATGTACCACCTGTTATAAAAATCACCGTCTATTTTTCAAGACTGTAATAATGGGTTAACAGTGATGTATTAACCAGAGAACTCAATTTCCTGTGAAGTCATCCTCTCTCCCTTCATGTGATACTGAAACTCTAAGACGCTGATGAAAGACGATGAGTAAGTGTGTGCGTGTACCTGCTCAAAGTGAGAGCGAGGGAGTTGGTTGCGGCTCTGATCTTGTTCTGTGCCTCCACATGGGTCATCTCCTCTGCATTGGCATCAGAGATGGACACCAACCAATCCCCAACACCCCCTCCGGCCTGGGCCGCCTTACCGCCTGGGGTCAGCTGAAACAGCCACAGAAAACAAACATTAGTCAGTCTGTATGTAATGAAATGAGATGACTAACTACAAACATTTCAAATCTAAACCAGATTTTTACATTTTTTGAAGAAAATGTGAGCGGTGCTGAGAACAAACACAATACAGAGGTGTTGTGAGTGGTTGCCAGGGTACTCTAATAAAAAATAAAGAATGTTGTAAAGCACAATGCCATGTGGTTGCTAATGTGTTCTGCGACGTTACTATGCGGTTGCTTAATGGCCAAAGCCAAAAGTGCTCACCCCCAAGTCTCTATGACTATTCTGGTCTCAACATACGGCTCATCTCACTCCTACACTATGTAAATCTATAGAAATGTTGAGCTCGTTTTCTCATCTGCCAAGTGGAAATCGTAAGTCTCATAGCTTAACGTAATAGCACACATCTTCTCAATAAGCTGCATAATTTTAGGTATCATTTCTTTCTGTAGCATGCAGAAAGGAATCATCATTAGCATCATTAACTAAAATTTAGACTATTAAAAAAAACATTTTTGTTAATTGAAACAAAGCTGATATAGCCTAAATGTTAGATTAAAAAAAAAAAAACTTAAATGAAAATTTTGAAATGTCTCCTAGGCAAATAATTGGAATGAACTAAAACTGAAATAAAAATATAAAACTGGAATCACAATTAATTTAAACGACTAATAAAAATCACAAAAGCATATGACAAAACTACTAAAAATTGTATTAAAATGAAAACCAAAAATAAAAAAAATAAAATGTAAAAATTATTTTTCAATATTTACAAATTTTAATTATATTTTAATTTTGCTCATTTTAAAATATTATTAAAACTATAATAGCATATAAATTAACACTGGTAGCATTGTGCAGGACAAGTTATCAAAGTTTAATACATAAGGTTAGCTTAATTCTTCTTCTTAACCTCAAGTATGAACTATAGCAATAGAGATGCCTGCATCAACACCACTAATATGAATCTCCAAAGGCAATAAACTAATTTATTTGATATCTAAAAGCAGCTGAATTAATTATAATTTGACCCAGATTCTGAAGATTTCAGGGCTCTGTGCTTATGTAGGCCACCAACAAATGAGAAGATGGAACATTTCTCTGAACCTGCAAACCTGTTCAATCAAGTCCTTTGTCACTATTTAATCAAGAAAAGAGCATTATACTTTACAAGCATTCAAAAACACTTTAGTTCCATCAGCTTAAATAAATGACACAAGCATTAGATTTAAAAGCAAGTTCAGCTAAAAATGGATATTAGCCAACCACACCTCATGCTGAGCTATTCAACTATTCAAATCCATGTCAACTCTAAAGCCACTGCAGTGAAAGAAGCAGCACCTTCCAATCAATCAAACCCAACCGCACAAGAATAAACACACCTGAGAGGAAGTCAATTCTTCAGCATGGACAAAGAACTCACCATGTAATCCTAAACACAATAAATCCTTCATCATTACAAAAAAGTCAGTCTAAAATAATCCAGCACTTTGATGCAGTATTGACTTTTACAGTCTTACTTGTGCAGCGTTTGAAGCAATGAAGTAAACCACAGCATATATAAATCACTCAGAAAAAAGCCTGAGGCATCGCCCAAAAGGGAAAGTGAAGAGAATAGGGAAATATGCAAGTGCTTGCATATTGGAAATGGAAATTGGAAATACATGGACATGAACATCCAAATTTTGCAATGTGGAAAATGTTTTACTGCCATCTGGACTCTGTGTACATTATGAATGGGAAGTGACATTCTGTGTGTCATGTCCAGGACCGCATGAGTCACATTAACATGTATGTCACTGACTTTTTTTAGGCTTATCGCTTGTTCACTATTGGAATAGCAAAACCAAAATGTGAAACTCCAAGGCTTAGTCAGCCTGTGTCTGATGCCTTCTGGGAAAATAAGAGCAGTCACAGTTTCAGATTACTACAGAGCAAAGTGTGAACACAATCCAGACCCAAGATCCTGCCAAACTTGTGAATTTGTGAACATTCTTTCCAAACCATGTGAGCTCTGCCAAGTTTTGGAGGAATTTTCTGACCTGGCAAGCAGTTCAGCAAGATTTCCGTTGGCGATTAACATTTAAGAGGAAACTTTGCTCAAAACTCCCACAGAAACGGTAAATAGGAAAGATTAGAGACCCACCCTAAAGCTAAAAGGTACACTCGTGAGGTTTTCTTGACCCAAACAGGGAGAATATCTGTCAGCATTCCCATTCATTTGAACTGCAGCTGCTTTGCTTTTATATGGCCATCAATGGAGAAAGATGCTTTAGGAAACAGACATCTACCAGCAGGGTTAACAAGACTATGAGAAACCTTGACCCTGTGAACTCCAACAGCATCACCACATTTGGCCACAAATAAAAGCAACTCAAAATGCAAAATGCTGTGCATCATTAATAGCACTTAGTGTGTGTAATAACATAATACGACATTTGGTGGTAACACCCTAATGAGATCCAGCTTTTGCTGTTGGCATGTATTTTAATGTAATGCACACAGTCTGCCCTCATGTATAAAGCTGTACTCAAACCTTCAACATCTGCCCTGGACATTTCAGACTCCCTATCCCTCCGTTCTCCAAGTTCTACCACATTTCCTGTCTCGGCTGCCTGCTATTCACTTCAACAAACATTTACAAGTCTTCTCTGCTGAGCTCTAAATAGAAATCTGGAGCACGACAGTACTAGGGGAAGAGAACAAAAGTTATTGTCCTCGAGCCTCTGCCCTCAACAGCCCGTTTGAGACCGTGCAAATATTTATGAAATATAAGAAGCACTGTGACGTCGTGAGGACATCATGAGGAAATGGCTATCTGAATAACAAACCCACAGAAAGTCCTCCACCAGGTGTAGCACTTTGGCAAGCATACAGGAAACAGACTAGACCAGAAGAGGTCCTAAAGGAAGAGTTGAACCAAAAATCAACATTTTGTCAACATTGCTAGTCTTGAGCCATTTAGAGAAAAAGCCTAATTGTGATTTTCCTGATAAAAATCTAAGTTGAAAAAGGTTTTCTATGCTTGATGTTAGAGCTGCACAATTTGGCCCAAAATTTTGTGATATTAAATCAATATAATTACAGCAATAATAATAATAAAACATAAGGAATATAACTGTTGTAATATTTCACTGTAAAATAAAATACAATAATTTTATTACATTTATGACATTCATTATATTTTATTTACCGTACAACTGCATAATAACAATTCTATTATATTTCTTAATTTTCAAATGTTAAACCATCAAGCTTTCATATTGGCAGAAAAAAGCGTCTCATAAATCTTCTCTTTTGTTGTCAACAGTCTGTTTATTAGTACTTTTCAAAAGTTTGGGAAGATGGTTGGTGCATGTTGTGTTCCCAAATCTGTTATAAGCAACCCAAACTGAGCTGCCTGAATGTTTAAATTTAAAAAAGTAATAATAATAATAATAATAATAATAATAATAATAAACATGCCCTGCTTCACTCTTCACTTCATGCAGCCTTTGTGGTTTGACAAGTCAAAATTGCAACTTCAGTAATATAGCCCTACCTCATGGTATTTAAACAAAACAAAAAAAAAATTTAATAAAAAAAAAAGCAAGATAAGCAGATTGTTGACACTGTTCTTTTACATTCAGTGGAAGTGAATAGAGACCAGGGAGCTTTAAGCTCCAAAAATAAAAAGTCAAAAATGATTTGTCACTCAAAAAGTCTGTGTGATTTGAGGTATATTCTGAGCCAACAATACTTTTATGGTGCTTTTGTCATTTTAGAGCTTAACAGTCAGACTCTGCTCAATATTCACTTGCAATGAGAAAGAGCATTGCAACATATTGCCAAACATCCACTTGTGGTCTACGGCAAGAAAAGAAAAAGCACCATCACTTCACTTCACACTCAGAAGTAAACACGTGGAGAAACATAGGCACAACAGAAAAAAAATTATGTTGAGACACAAAGGATAAGGAAAGAAGACAAGGGAACTGTGGATGGTTGAGTATACAGATAAAGCTGATGGACATGACCACCTGTGTTCCTGGCTCAAATTCAGAGCCCAGCTGTTCCTTGACTTGAGTCTGGTGGCAGTAAATTGCTGCGCTAAGACCTTTTACAAGTCAAAGGGGGAAGAGTTGAGAAACCTTAAAACTTCTGATATCAATATACAGGATGACATAAGAAAATAAACTCATATAAACAGCTGAAAACGAGGAGGTAAGTCATTTTAGATGTTCAAGGTGGATGATATGGGTCACAATCAACAATTTTCTCAAAAAACATTTTCTATGCATGTCCCGGATATCTGAACTAGCTAAACAGTCTTTAAAATCATGGCCCATTTACAATTTTCCCTCCCAGACACGCCGCAAATCCTTGCCGCATTTCACTTTCCATTTCCTTATGGGGGGCTGTAAGACTCGGGGCCTCAGTGCAATTGCGTCAGCTCATACGAGTGAGCCATAAATATCTTGGATGTAAGAGCCAAGCTTCAAACCAAACCGTCTTCAGAGGTCTTAGCAGCCACTGCCACACTAACAAGCCCCCCAAAAAACTAAAATATATATATTTTAACAAACTTGTTAAAATGACAAATTCTGATGAGTAGGTCCACAGGCCAGAGACTCTGAGAATATGATCTGTAAACTCTGTACAATTTATTTATGTTTTTTAAGTAAAAGTTCAGCCAAAAGTGAAAATTTGGGGAACAGAAAAGCAGGGCTTCTTTTTTTTTTTAAAGGAACTTCTTACAATGACAGTTCATGGTAACGAGTAGGGGTGTGAACTAGGGCTGTCGCGATTCGTCGATTCTATTCGACTATTAAAAATCCTCGACTTCATTTTGCCTGCGTCGACTAACCGGCAAAATACCGGAAGTGGCGCATTTCATGGACTAGAATCCATAAAACACATTATTAGACTGTTTTCCAAGGCCTCGTGATATATTAAACCCGTGTAAAAAAATCATAATTAAGCATAATTGTGAATTCAAAAAGCTACGA